TCCCTGTCAAATATCAGATGCTAGACTTTGCCAAAAATAGGACTTCCAAGTCTTGAAGCAATGCCAAACACTGGCTTCTTAGCTGAAAAGCAAAAAGAAATGATTGCCAGAGACAGGCCTCGAGTCTGCCATGGTCAGATGTCACCAGTTTGCTGTGCCACATGTGATCCCAGAGTTTATGAATGATCTCAACACTTGGTCCCCAAGGAGAACATATGCATTACAGAGGTTACGGATACAAATTACAGAGAGCACAATGTTTCCATGCAATTTCTAAGAATCCTTCAGCAAGTTTTAAACATTAATGGAAAACATGAAGGGAGACTTGGCACTCTTAGCGAGACTTCAAATTATTCTGTGGGTGAGGACGGAACAGAGCTAAAAAAAGGATTCAAGAATAAAGACTTGGCTAGGACACTCAGAGCTGGCCATTCCTCTTGTGTGAATTGTGTGTTTGTGTATTTTATTCCCTGCAGAATACCAGGCTTTGCAAAATGCTATGACTTGAAAATGAGCAAGTCACAGGGCAGTCTTGTTTATTCAACATGCTCCAATTCATACCACTGGTTTATCTGGATCATTTGCTGAGTGAATTTGCTTATACAGGGAGTCTTAGTGCGGGGGTAGGGGGAGGTTCCTGTCTCATTTAGGAATTGTCAGCAGGCTGCAGAGGTGCCAGTGTCAGCTTGCATAGCAGTAGCAGGATGTCTCCCCACTGATTTCTTTCATTCCTATTCCCCTTCTGAGCCAAAGAAGCCACTTGTAATGTGTCTCCCCAGCATCAGATTGTATTTCCTAGTTAGCTGGAGGCTGACCTGTTCATTGTGATCACATTTATTTCTCTTTTATTAAAAATATTAGTGTAAATTGTGCAAAATAATTTCGTTGTGTTCTTTCCATGCTTATGGATATGGATATGGATGTGTTGTATCTGATCACACTCACTTCTTCCATTACTCTTTGTTAGCTATCCCATTCCCCTTTTAAAACAACTTTAGCCATCATCACATTTGCTTCTACAAAATTGAAGTCATTTCATATAAAGGACAACTCTTTTTAAGATTTGTTTTTAAGTCTGTTAAAGTTCAAAAACATATGGGATCACTCTATATCAGTGAAGAGCTGTCATTTGGAAGGAAAAATTTAATGTAGGCTGGCATCAGTATGAAAAGGATCCAAATTAGAAAGTCCAGACTTAGCAGAGTCTTCAAGATTGACTGATTTATCTACCCATATCACAGAGAACCCAGGTTTTTCTACCTCATATTCTACTGGGCATAATCTGATAAGGGACTCCATTTGGACTCCTGTGTTAGTGGCATGGCTGGCACTAACAGCTGTCTAGGTTAAGATAACATAGGGGATGTTCTGGAACCAAGGTCTTGACTTCCATGCCAGTTTGGACTATACCGAATTATTCTTCTTACTGCACATCGGTAGTTGTTGAAGTACTGTGTTGATTGGAAACAATATGTATTATTTGTAGGCTTAAACATTTTAAAGGGTGGCTATTTTCTCTGTTATCTTTAATTTATTTTAATGCTTACAATTATATACTATAATCTGTTGTACTAATTATGTTGGTTGCACAAAAATACACTGTTTACTTGAGTGACTACTTTCTGAGCCTTTGGAAGTATCCTCTTATTCACCTTTGGTTTTCAACTGCATCTAGTAAAGCTGACCATTATATTTCTTTTCAGATTACCTTTCTCATGATTAATTTAGCTTGTCTGGGATGATATCTTTTTTTTCCAGTGGTGTGGATGAATACATGTATCAATAACAGCATCACATTTCTAGTCACTTTGCAAAGTCTGTGATCACTGTGGCTCAAAAATATATCTTCCCTGAGCAATTTATTTTGTATTTTCTTTTTATTGTCATTCTTAATTTATTTCAGTAAACTGAGATGGAAATGTCTTAATGATACCTTTTGCTAAAAGAAATAAAGTCCAGATAAGTATCAGTTTAAGAGAAAATAAGTCTTGGTTTTTGAAAGAGTGCAGTTGTGAGATAAAAGTAAAAGATGCAAGGTCTAAAACTACAAGTAAATACAAAGATTGCTTAGGGTGTATATTAGTTACCCATTGCTTTAAGTTATCACGAACTCTGGTGAAGGCAATGAGAGTCTTCAAGGGTCATTGGATTGAGGACCCCTGTGTCTTGCTGGGGGTTAGCTGGAAGCTGCCCTCAGATCCTTGCCATGTAGTTCTCTCCATTGGTAATTTGTTCCTTGCAAGCTCAGAGGTAGGTGTGTGTGTGTGTGTGTGTGTGTGTGTGTGTGTGAGAGAGAGAGAGAGAGAGAGAGAGAGAGAGACAGACAGACAGAGACAGAGATAGAGAGACAGAGAGTGAGAGAGAATGTGTGTGTGTGTCAGAAAGAGTGGGGAGAAAGAGATAATGAGGAAGAAGAAGAAAAGGAGAAAGAAGAAGAAAGAAACAGGAGGAGGAGAAGGAGGAGGAGGAAGTAGAAATGAAAGTCACAATCAAGTTTTGCAATCTAGTTTCAAGAGTGAGATGCTATCACTTTATTTTTCTATTAAAAGATTTATTTGGATGGGTGCAAAGAGTCTGTATACATAAAGCAGTGTCACTAGGCAGAAATGAGTTAGCTGAGTTACATATGAACCCCAGAGAGCATATTACAAGTTGAAGAGGGTAACAGTACCAATTATACCATTATCTCACCCTACTCTCTGACTGAATAGTCTGAAAGCCTAAAATTACAGTTGATGTGGATTTCTTGGCTTCATGTGCAAATTGGAGTCATTTTCTTTCCTTTTATTCTGAATACATAAACATATGTTATATTGTTTAAGAATACTAGTCCATATAGTTTGTTATGATATTTTTCATTTTTACTTCCTCATGTCAAAAGATCTTTTAAAAAATTGGGTTATTGTGAATCAGTGTAACACAGACTCTGAATGATTTGATCTGGTCTTAAGTACCATTTGTGCTAAGGCTTTTTTGGCATGTTATTTGTTAGGAGACCAGAGCTGGGGAAGGCCCTTGAACTGGCCAGATGTGCTATTTTGGAACAGATTGAGGGTCTGCCAAAGTACCATTCAATGCCAATACCGGATATTGTAGTGTGTGTGTCCGGGGCCGGGGGGAGCAGGGGTGGTTGATCACCCTGTTACTGTGTTTTTGCACTTCTTACCATTGAATAAATAGGCAGCTGTTCTGTATTTAGAATAAAAATTAGTCACCAGCTTGCTCTCCCTGGAGGAAATACCTCCAAGAGCAAACCAGAGTGTTAACCCCTTCTCAGGGCTTACATGAATATCACATTTGAATGTTACCCCTCCACCCCCTTAGCTCAATCAGAAGCAAAGCTTAAGCTTAGGAATCACACCTTTTTCTACCAGTTAGTGAGAAGACTAAAAACGTGTACTTCTCAGTGCTAACACAGAACACGTTTCCTTAGCAGTGAAAGCACTAAATTAATCCATTTATAAGCTGAGAATGAACAATTTGTGCAGAATGCTTTCTTACTGCTCCTTCAGAAGGAAATCAGGTTCTCTAATCTGCAAAAGGACCATGACTTCATTAAGACAGAAAACCATGTTAAAAGGATGTGTTACCAGAAAAAAGAAAAGAAAAGCCCTACAAGTCACTTAGTTGTTTTTCTAGGGCTATTTTCAGGACAGAGATTTTTATTTATTTGGAGAATGACAATTAACCTAGAGACTTAGCACAGCAGAGACATAGAGTGGTCAAGTGGGTCTCATTATTAAACAGAGAAGGAAGCTGATTTGATTTAATCCTCATTTCAGTGGATGACTTATATCTCAGGCTAGCAGTAGCTGCTCTGTGTTTCTGTGTATGCATGAACATATATGTGTGTTTATATATATATGTGCATATGTACATGTCCACATACTCACATATATAGGACAATGCCTACATATATTTTGCATTGGATCTAGATATGCCTAGGCCGGCTCTACACTTTTGAACTTTACAACAAAAGTGTCAGTATTGTAAAGTCAAAATAGGAAAAATGGATGCAGCTGTGAAAAGTAAAGACAGTTGAGAAATAGAGGACATGACCTGTTCTCTTACTTTATTTATTTATATTTTTTGGAAGTTTATCCTAAAAATAGCCCTAGGCCTTGTTTTCTGCAGTCTGAGATGCCAAGTCATTTCTCCATCCTTTCCATCTTGCCAGGAGCAGAAAAGCACACTCTGATAGATAGGTGACATTTGGAGAGCCAGGCATGCCAGATTTTTGGAGGTTACCACGGAGGTCCAACCTGCTGTTCTCCTTAATGAAAGGAGGGAAAAGTCAGACTGGCAAAACTGCTATAAGGGATATCTCTGTTTCGAATGTCACGCTGCCCAGATGTCACTCGGCAGGTGGAGAGGCAGAGAGAATGAAGATGGAGCCCTGTGTATGTGGGTGCTAGTGCGTTGCAGGGTGAACAATGAGCCTGTCTGCGACAGGGCAATGAAAACTGTGATCTTTTCAGTATTCGTATCACTGGGAAGGACTTTCTCAGAGTCTTCACTTCACTTCCTCTCATCAACTGACAGACCAACATGTTCACAAACCACTGGCACAGGACTTGATTTAGGTTTTAGTCTATCTGCGACATTGATTTAAATCTGCTTATGTACCTACATATATATATATATATACATATATTTTTTTTCTTTGTAGAAAACCAAAATTTACTACACAAAACCTTTCACAAGAGTGTTTTGCTATTAAGCACAAAAACTGTCTCACAAATATTTCTAATCTCTTTACCTGAGGAATCGCCTCCTTTTGGGAACTGTATTTTAGAGCAAAGGTACATGAGCCTATTCCCCTATTGATAAGAAATTAATCTGGATCTGGAATATTTTGGGGCCTAACTATGTTCTCTGGTGATATTTTAGTCTAGTTTTCTTTCTAGAACAAGTGGGTATGTCTTGAAGTTACCTTTGCAAGGAAGAAAAATGAAGTTATAGACACTGAGCTTTGTTTTGCTATGTTTGTATTTCCTTAGTGTTGCGAGATGACTTTCGGCAAAACCCCACAGATGTTGTCGTGGCAGCTGGAGAGCCTGCAATCTTGGAGTGCCAGCCTCCCAGGGGACATCCAGAACCCACCATCTACTGGAAAAAAGACAAAGTTCGAATCGATGACAAGGAAGAAAGAATAAGTGTGAGTTAAATGACAATGAAAGTCTAATCAAATTGAGTTTCTTATCTACAAGTCAAAGAGTTCATTCTCTAATTTATTAGAAATAAAATAATATTTAAATGCTTTTTTATCCTTTATATCTTACTGGAAGGATTTAAAAGCAAAATAATTGGGGAATTCCAAGAAACAAAAATGGTACAAATCAAGTGACTTTGATAAACTAATAATTTTACAACTTTTTACATGTAAATATATCTTTGTGGTATGAAGCCCTCCCAAGAATTGTATTGGTGATTTATACTTTATACATGATACTTTTCACACTTTATTTAAAAAAAAGTATAAATGACAGTTATAAACCACATTAATCCTGTCTCAGTTTACCACTTTTTTTTTTGGGGGGGGGGGTCTGAACTCTGGGCCTGGGCACTGTCCCTCAGCTCTTCAGCTCAAGGCTAGCGCTCTACCACTTGAGCCACAGCGCCGCTTCCAGCTTTTTTCTTTTTGCTTATGTGGTGCTGAGGAATTGAACCCAGGGCCTCAGGCATGCAAGGCAAGTGCTCTACCACTGAGCCACTTTCCCAGCCCCAGTTTACCACTTTTCAAAATATCAAGAGGAAATAATCTAAAGTGAGGCACAATTCACATTAATTTCAATCGGTACCCTCCATCTTGTTGTATAATACATTTTTCTAATTTGGGGAGGGGAAGGGAAATAACAAAATGATGAAATAAGAATATAGGTTGACCCATTGTAATAATGAGATGTGCAAGACACTATGTTGAAAACAAACTTTACAACTTGGGGAAGGGAAAGAAGTTGGGGAGGTGGGGAGGGCAGTGGTAGTAGGGGAAAAACAAAGTTGAAGGTAACAACGCTGGATAGGAAATGTACTCATCAACTTACTCATGTAACTGTAACCCCTCTATACAGCATTTTTACAATAAAAAACATATATTAAAAAAGAAAATCCATGTAATTGAGTGCCTGTGAACTTTAAAAATATTCAGGTGCCAATGGCTCATGCTACTCAAGAGGCTGAGATCTGAGGATCGCAATTTAAAGAAAGCCTGGGCAGGAAAGTCCTTGAGAGTCTTTATCTCCAGTTAACCACCAAAAAGCTAGAAATGGAGCTATGGCTCAAGTGACAGAAGCCAGGCCCTTGAGTTCAAGCACCAGGATGGGCATACAATATTATTATTTATATATGTGTATATATATGTAATGCATTTATGTACATATGATATATACATGTATCATATACATATAAGTATATGCATATATAATATATACACATATAATATTCATATATACATATATACTATTCTTTATAATATAATACTATAATAACTATAATATTATAATATATAAATAATAAAGCAGGGTTTCATTTGTGTGCACATTTGAAATTACATCATAATATAGAACCAATAATTATGTAAATAATTACAACATATATTGATATGCTTCTGACTTTGTTGTTAATGTTGTGAAGTTTTTTTGTTTGTATTTCACCTTTGGCAAAGGGAACTTAAATATGATGTGTTGAATAACAAACTTTTGAAAACGTCCTGTTTGGTTTTTGTTCTGTAGCAAACCACAACCAAAGTCATTTGGAGTATATAAAGGATTTCATCTAGACTAATTGCCTGGGAAGGTTGATAGTCCTGCTCAGAGTTAGCTTTCATGAAGTCTGCTAGACTCTCTCATCCTTCTATGATCAGCTAAAGGTGACCTGGCTTACTCTGGGCTCAACATCCTAGTTGTTCTTCTGATCTTTTAACTTTCCAGCAGGTTAGCTCACTGCTTCTGTGGTCTCACCGCTCCTGCAGCAGGAGCAGCAACAAGAGAAGACAAGTCCCAATGTTCAAGCACTTTTTCTTTTTCTTTACTTTGGAGTTATATTCTATTGAAACATCAATCCATATTTGCCAAGCTCAGCTTGATGATGAGGCAAAATATCTTTTACAATAAATTTGTAAACTACCATTCTACCATACTGGGGAAAAGTAAGGAGACAGATGGTTCATCTTTTCTCCAAATGTGAAACAACAACAACAACAAAAACACTGAAATATGACCTTCCCATAACATGACAGATTTCCGAGTTTAAGCTGACCATCATGAACACTAATCAGCATGAACACTAATCGGCCTGTACAGAAAACTGCAATTTTAATTTCAGAAGTCTTTAAGAATTCCCAGTGACTGTCAAGATTATCAAAATAGATTAATACAGAAATGTTTTATAATTAGGAGGCTAAGAGAACGATGAGTGATAGTATGCTTGCTGACAGCCTAACTGATTTAATGTTCTCTTTTGTAATTGGACATTCTAATATTATTTCATTTTTCATTCAAGGAATGCTTCTCATTTTACAAATGTGTAGGGAACATTTATCAGATGTTAATTATTTGTAAAAAGTTGTCATTTTATAAAATTCAATAGTTTTCATCCAAACTATCCTACTTAAAACGTATTTCTTAAATACAATTAAAATTAGACAGATGAGTAATATTAATACTTGAAATACCAAGTCTACAAAATTTATTTTACTATTGAGCTTACTACCACATCCTGGCCCTTAAAGGTCCCCCAAAAATACTTAAGCTGAATTTCTTTATTCTTTCCAAAGCAGATACCTAGCACTGTCTGATGACAAATGGCAATAGCAGTTCCTTCAGTGGAATCTGAGGGTAAACACAAATCCTGGGATTTAGGAGATAGTCACCTCAGGAAACTCAGAAAATGGCTAGGCCAGAGAAAGGAAGGCTGCCATAAACAAAAGTATTCCTGAAGATGGAAAAATGGAGACTCACTGAAGGTGAATTTAAAAAGCACATATGCAAACACTAAAATAGAGGGAGAATCTTTTTCTCTTAAATGCAATTGTTTCCTTTGGATAGTAAATTGTTCATCTAAATATTTAAAATTATTCATTAGTTGTCTTTCTGTTTCCTTTTCTACTTTGGGTTTAATTTTAATAGATTCGTGGTGGCAAATTGATGATCTCCAATACCAGGAAGAGTGATGCAGGCATGTATACCTGTGTCGGGACCAATATGGTAGGCGAAAGAGACAGTGACCCAGCAGAACTGACTGTCTTTGGTAAGTCCCTCTTTTAAATTATAAATGGCTGTTTTGTATTTAGTTTGTATGTATTTAATGCTTTTCCTAACATTAGATTTTTTTTTTCTTTTGTGGGGCTTGAACTCTGGGCCTGGGCACTCTCACTGAGTTCTTCAGCTCAAGGTGAGCGCTGTACCACTTGAGCCACAGTGCACAGTGCCACTTCCGGTTTTCTGGTGGTTTGTTGGTGATAAGAATCTCACAGATTTTCCTGCCCGGGCTGGCTTTGAACCACGATCCTCACATCTCAGTCTCCTGAGTAGCTAGGATTATTGACGTGAGTCACAGGTGCCTAGCTTTTTTGTCTTTCTTATGAAAACTGGTATCAGGAAATTTTTTTGAAACTTTAATCACTCTATAGTTATTAGATTTTTGCTTTTATTTCTCAAAATGTAAAAAGAAATGTTTCCAAGTTTATTTGACATAATATATTTATCTAAAGTTTATCCTTCATATATTGATATTCCTATAAGATACTTCTACATATAGTCATATATTTGTATACATACTATAATGTATATACCCACTCCTATATGTATATATATATGTATATCAAAATACAGTAACAAAAAATTTTACTTGTTCAGACTCGTGATTTTTCAGGGTGCAAAGACGATTGGGATTTTTTATTTTTATTTTTTAAATATGATGCCAATCCTTGGGCTTGAACTGAGGGCCTAGACCTTGTCACTCAACCTCTTTCTATTCAAGTCTACTGCTCTGATGCTTGAGCCACAATTCCACTTTTTAAAAAAAATCTTATTACACTTTTTTAAATTGTGAAAATACCATACAGAGGGGTTACAATTCAATGGGCAAGATAATGAGTACATTTCTTATCAAGCATTCTTGCCTTCTCCTGTGTTTCTCCTTCCCATCCCTTCCCATCTCCCACCCCTCCAACTCCCCATCCCACCCCCCACCTTGGCCAAAGTTGTAAAGTTCGATTTTCGACATAACAACTTGTATATCTCATTGTTGCAATGGATCAACCTGTATCCCTATTTAAATGATTTGTTTTTTCCCTTCCCCTCCACAAATTATACCAACATCAAATACAATGAAAACAGGGGTTATACCGTGGGTGAGGGACATACAAACCAACAAAGAAATCATCTTATAAATATGTTAGGAAAAATAGCAAGAAAGAAAAACCATTTGAGTCCTTATCTTGGGGTTCATTTCACCTAACATCAATTTATCTGACCTTTTCTGCTTGTCTCAGACATATACTAGTTATTGCAAATAAGGGAAGCCATGAGACCTATGTTTCTTTGGACCTGGCTTACTTCACTTAATATAATTTTTTCCATGTCTTTCCATTTCCTAACAAGTTGGGCAGTGTCATTCTTTCTGATGGAGGCATAGAATTCCATTGTGTATATATACCACATTTTCTTGATCCATTCATCTACTGAGGGGCATCCTGGTTGGTTCCATATCTTAGCTATGGTAAATAATGCTGCAATAAACATAGTTGTGCTGGTAGTTTTAGTATGGTCTTGTTTGTGATCATTTGGGTAAATGCCCAAAAGTAGGATTGCTGGGTCATAGGGGAGCTCTATGTGGAGTCTTTTGAGGATCTCCATATTACTTTCCAAAGTGGTTCAACAAGTTTACACTCCCACCAACAATGCAGGGTTCCCTTCTGTCCACATCCCCTCCAGCATCTGTTGCTATTAAAGTTCTTGATTATAGCCATTCTAACTGGGGTGAGGTGGTATCTCAATGTTGTTTTGATTTGCATTTCTTTTATGGCTAGAGAGGTTGGGCATTTCTTCATGTGTCTATTGGCCATCCTACTTTCCTCTTCAGAGAAGTTTCTCTTTATGTCTTTGGCTCATTTATTTATTGGGCAGTTGTTTCTTTGAGGATTTGTTGTTGGGAGATTTACTTAGAAAGTGGCAAAACCTCCCATGCTCCTGGGTTGGAAGGATCAACATCGTGAAAATGGCAATACTTCCTAAGGCTATCTACAAATTCCATGCGATACCTATCAATATTCCAACCTCATTCTTCAAGAAAATAAAAGAGGCAATCCAAAAATTCATATGGAACAATAAAAGACCCTGAATAGCAAAAACGATCCTTAACAGAAAGAACAGTGCGAGAGGAATATCAATACCAAATTTCAAATTCTACTACCATGCCATAGTAATCAAAACAGCTTGTTACTGGCACAAGAACAGACCTCAGGACCAATGGACTAGAATCGAAAACCCAGAAATGAACCTACAGGCCTATAGCCATCTAATTGTCGATAAGGGAGTTAAAAAATAAAATGGAAGAAAGACAGCCTCTTCAGTAAATGGTGCTGGCAAAATTGGTTAACTACTTGTAGAAAACTAAAGCTAGATCCTTATATATCATCCTCTACCAGAATCAACTCCAAATGGATCAAAGACCTCAGAGTCAAAGCAGACACTCTGAAAACATTACAGGATGGAATAGGAGATACCCTAGGTCTTGTTGGCACAGGCCGAAATTTTCTTAATAGAAACCCCGAAACCCAACAATTCAAAGAAAGGTTGGACCAATGCGATTGCATGAAATTGCAGGGCTTCTGCCTGGCAAAGGACATACCTAGCAAGATCAATAGAAAGCACATGGATTGGGAGAAAATCTTCATGAGCCATACAATGGACAAGGGTCTCATATCTAAAATATACCTGGAACTCAAAAAATTAAATCCCCAACACAATTCCACTTTTTGCTTTTGTTTGGACGGGAAATAGTGTAATTAAGAGTCTCAAAGACTCCTGGGCTGGCTTTGAACCAGATCCTCTAGTCTCAGCCTTCTGAGCTAGCTAGTCTTACAAGCAACCTGGCAAATTATTGTGTTCTTAAAAAATTTTGTTCGGTGTTAGTATTATATTAACAGTATTCACGATTGTATTTATTCATGATATATTAATATCCTTGTTTTTGGTCCTTATCCAGGACCTGTATAAAGGTAACCAAAACTTTGTGCAGTCGCTAAAAAAGCTTCTTTTGCAGATTATGAGATATCATCCCTAGTGTAATTGGAATGCCATAATGAAAAGAGATATATTATGATTTCCATTACATCTCAAGAGTTAGGGTTGTGCTTTATGAATATGTACCAGAGTGCAGGTTTCTCTATTCAATCACTCTGAGTACTGAGTAATCTCTGCTAATACTTCCTGTGGATACTAAGCAGCTTGAAGTCTCAAAGGACAAAGCCAGGAGAAATGTCATATTTTATTAAAAGAACTGAATGGTAAAAATAAAATTGTTCAAATTGGATCTAAAATTATGTCCTGCAGAGCTCAGAAAAGTATCAGTGTGACCCTAAATTTTATGCAGTCTTTTTGAGATATCTCAAACTGTGTTCCACTCTATAATGAGTAAAATAAGGTTTTGCCTGTTAAAATATGAAATTAGTGATCACTGAACATTAACACTGGAAGTCTTTTATTTAAAGAGACACTCACTACTATTTTTTTCCTGTAACTACTACAAGCTTTACAGTTGAAAAACACTGCAATTTATTAGTACAGATTACCTTCAGAGGGAAATTCAAAGGGTATAATATTATCCAAGCAATTATACCTACCAATATTGAGTTTATATTGAAATATTTACCCTACTCTTTCTAAAGATATGATGAAAATTGCAGGAGACACCTAAATATGTCAGGGGCTATAGAGTAACTTCTAAATTATTTTGAAAATAGCTATCAACCAAAGAGATTGAATTTGTCTAGAGGCAGTTCCTCTGGAAGAATTGATTTAAAAAGCTGAGAAACGTTTATCTGATGGTGTAAACTAGTCAGAACTGACTTGAGGTGTTATAAATACAATATTAAGTTGAGGACAAAACTGAAATTCCATTATTGATAACAAAACAACATCTAACTCAGAAAAATAGAAAAGAGAAAGGATGACCCAGATCAACGATGTAATAGAATTGTGTGACAATTCTTTCTTTACCTTGGCTTTCTAGTCTTAGGTAACATGAAATATTGCTATTCATGGTGAGGATTTCTTCATTCTATTTTGAGCTCTTATATCCAGGACATGCATTCTTTTTAACTATCTCATCATTAAATATTATCATTTCTGGCCTAATATGTATAAAACTGATGACATTTTACACTCTATCTCCGCACGTTTATTTTCATGTAGCAGAGGTTTTTCAACAACCTTTGCAACTCAAGCTTTGCCTTAAGAAATATTCAATAGAAAAAATATTTTATTGCTCAAAAAATAAAACTCACTCATGAAGGGCAAGAACAGGATAAGAATAAATGTTCTTTTCCTACACAATAGCTAGGTATTTTCTAAGACATGTTGGTAGAAAAAAAATTCCTCACTTTTCAAGTATTTGGGTTCTTTAGTAAGTGTGGAAGTCTCACATTTTATTTTCCATTAAAAATTTCAATTTTAACTACCCAATAAGTGGGCTGAAGACTTACAGAGAAACTTCTCTGAAGAGAAAATAAGGATGGCTAATAAACACATGAAGAAATGCCCAACCTTCCTAGCCATAAAAGAAATGCAAGTCAAAACAACATTGAGATACCACCTCACCCCAGTAAGAATGGCTATAATAAAGAACTCTAATAAAAACAGCTGCTGGAGGGGCTGTAGAGAGAGGGGAACTCTACTGAATTGTTGGTGGGAGTGTAAATTTGTTCAACCACTTTAGAAAGTAATATGGAGGTTCCTCAAAAGACTCCACATAGAGTTCCCCTATGACCCAGCAATCCTACTTTTGGGCATTTACCCAAATGATCACAAACAAGACCATACTAAAGCTAACAGCACAACTATGTTTATTGCAGCATTATTTACCATAGCTAAGATATGGAACCAACCAGGATGCCCCTCAGTAGATGAATGGATCAAGAAAATGTGGTATATATACACAATGGAATTCTATGCCTCCATCAGAAAGAATGACATTGCCCAACTTGTTAGGAAATGGAAAGACATGGAAAAAATTATATTAAGTGA